TCCTCAACTGTCTTGCTTGTAACAAGATAATCTTGGGACTGGCATTGGGTGCAGCAGGTTGAACTACCACTTCAAGCATTGGCTGCTCTGCTTCTGATCCAGCTCCCTACTAATGCAACTAGTATGGCAATAGTTGGATGGCCCATGTGCTGAGCCCCTGCCACCCAGGTGGGAGACTGGAATGGAGTGAGTCCTGGTTTTGGCCTGGCCCAGCCCTGGTAGTTGTAATTTTTGGGAGTAAACCAGCAGATGGAAGATCTCTCTCTCTCCTGCACCCCCCTTTCTCTCTGTTTCTTTCCCTCTGATTAAATAGCTCTGCCTTTCAAATACATACACACACACACTTATATATGTTAAAGATTTTATTTATTTATTTATTCAAAAAGAATTACAGAGAAAGAAGGGGAGACAGAAAGAGAGGTCTTCCACCTGCTGGCTCACTCCCCAAGTGGCTGCAACAGCCAGGGCTGAGGCAGGCTGAAGTCATCCTGGTCTCCCACATGGGCAGCAGAGACTCAGGCACTTGGGGCAACTCCCACTGCTTTTCCCAGGCCATTAGAAGGGAGCTGTATTGGAAGTGGAATATTTGAGACACAAACCAGCATCCATATGGAATTCCAGCATTGCAGGCAGTGACCCAACCTGTTATGCCACCATGCCAAACCCATAAATAAATATGTTTAAAAACACAATCTTTGCTATGCAAGATAAAACACAAAATAGAACTAATATATTCTTATTATCAACCTATAAAGAATAGAACATTTTTTATTGGGTTGCCTAGTCTAAGTGTAATACTCTTTGCTATTGCTTCTACCTCACAGCAAAAATTCACTTTAAGAAAGTTACTACCTAGTTTTCAAGTAGTGAAACCCAAACACAGGTATCAATACCTCAGTAGTGATGATAATCGCTAAGCCTCCTGGAAAGAGACCTCGCGCTTCATCACTCACTCTGCACTGCCCATTCCACCTGCTGCACACGGGCCTGCCCCTCCCTGGACCTACTCTCACGTGCACAGCACCATGGAAGCTGCTTTCTAGACAATATGAGCCTCTCACGTGGGTATCCTCACAAAAATGGCAGGTATGCAGGTGGCTTTATCCTCAGAAACAAAACCAATATATTTGCTGATGACCACGGATTTATATGCATTTTTATTTGTGACATAGCAGAGGAGCTCCTTAAGTTTCATGACGGGGCCGGGGCTGTGGCACAGCAGGCTAACGCCCTGGCCTGAAGCGCCGGCGTCCCATATGGGCGCTGGTTCTAGTCCCGGCTGCTCCTCTTCTGATCCAGCTCTCTGCTGTGACCTGGGAAAGCAGTAGACGATGGCCCAAGTCCCTGGGCCCCGCACCCGTGTGGGAGACCCAGAAGAAGCTCCTGGCTCCGGCCTTAGGATCAGCACAGCTCCGGCTGTTGTGGCCATTTGGGGAGTGAACCAGCGGATGGAAGACCTCTCTCTCTTTCTGCCTCTCCTCTCTCTGTGTAACTGACTTTCAAATAAATAAATAAATCTTTAACAAAAAAAAAAAAGAAAAATGTTTCATGACAAAAAGACACTTTGCGAGGACCTGTAGTATATTATGGGTGAAGTGAAAGAACACATACATGTGGAAACATACATGTGTGTCCACATGTGGACATGTGTGGGCACAGCACTTTTGTACAAATACGTGGATACATACACACACATGGGGAGTTCAAACCTGAAAGAAAAGTTTAGAGAAGCAGCATGGTGAGGTCTAAAGTGAAAGTCCTTTAGGGTCAGATCTGTGTTTAAATCCCCCACGTCCCCAAGCTCCAGGTTTCTGACTAATTTTCTATACAACAAGTAGTCATCATCACATCAGAAGACTGTCATGAAGATTCAATCATATAGAATACACAATAATGCTTAGCACAGTGGCTGCCACACAGAAGACAAAATGCATCAGCTGCCTTCTCCTTCCCCTCCCCTCTATGTCCCTGAAAGGATTCTTCTTTAATTCTACTGACTTAAATGGAAATTCCTACAGCAGTTTAAAAAAAAAAAAAACAGTTCCTATACATTATATAGTCATTAATACATATGTATCTATTGCAGCACCATAATTTTCAAAGAAAAAGGAAGTAGTAATTTTCAGAGAAAAGTACCAGCTCACTTGCACTCCTCTAAAACCCTCAGCTTTGCAGTCTGCAGAGACCATTTGCTCCAGGGGTGCAGATTCTGAAATCAAGGAAAAATTCTCACGGGAAAAAATGGTTCCAAAAAAACCAACAAAGAAAAGATAATGAGGGGAAGTCTGGGGGTATATAAAGGAGTTTATTTTACTTAACAAAGTAAAAGTCAAGCAAAATGAAAAATCTGCCTCCAGAAATGGTTATTTAAAGGCTTTTTGAAAAGGGCTCTGGTTCCTAAAAAGACAGGAGTCACTGCATATGCCCACCCACTCCTCATTTATTTTTAAACCCTAGCTTATATGTTCCTTAGCAACAGAGTAGATGAGACCCCCCTGCACACACACAGACACACACACACGCACACACGCACACACACCCTCTCTGCCAAAGCCCCCTCCTCTTTCTTATCAAGTTGCAATGTGCAGATACCCATGTTCTTCAAGATATTTCTTACCCACCTGCAAATCTGCACCTCCTCACCTCAAGCGACCCCCTCCACAAGCAACCATACTCTTGCTTAGACTGCACCCTGTGAGGCCTTCCTGGCTCTATCCCATGAAGTCCCACAGGTCCCCGTTCCCAGGCATCCCCTCAGGTCTAAGGTGGCACAGTCCTCACTGTGGAGCCAACAGCCAAGTCCAGCCACAGCTGCTGTCTCCAACAGACCTTTCCTGAAGCCCCCAGCCAAACAGAAGGCCCAACTGCACCCAGGCCCAGCACAGAAGGCCACTGTGGTCAATGGGCTGGTCATTCACCATGACTCTCAGAAAAATGAAAACAGTGATCAAAAAGAAGAAAGCCTTCAGGTGACAGGGGACAAACATGTGACAGCTGAAACCACCTACCTTTTCACTGTCTTTCCTCAGACTGGGACACTGCCTGGCCTTGTTAGGCCAGGCAGGGTTTCTGAGTTCAAAGATCAATTGTGTAGCCTTTGAGTGGGAAAAAAATAGGGCAGCAATCCTGATGCTAGTGTGCTTAAGCACTGCCCGAGGAGCCTGTTAAAAATCTCCACCCACAAAGAGTTTGATGCTGTAAGTGTGGGGTGGCAGGCATTTTTAACAAGCCACCTGAGGCGACACTGATGCAGGTGGCTTGCTGCCTTGGAGATGGCCACAGAATAGAATACGCCTGTAGGGACTGAAGGCAGATGCAAGGTGTCTGTGTCCGTGTCCCTGACTGTATGTGGATGGACACACAACCCAGAAAGCCATGGCCCCACACAGTACGCATGTACATGTCCCCGGGACAGGCTGAGAGAACGGTCCTTGCCAAGTGGCAAGCTGAACTGATTTCCCTTGCAAACTCGGGTTTCGTAGCCCTACCCAAGGAGGAGTCACATGAAAGCAAAAACACAGGATCACTTCTCAGCCCAGAAGCCCAGACCCACAGTGTGCCTAACAAACCACCACCACCCTCTTCCAGCTCCTAAATTAGGCTGAATGTAGTCCCTCTTCCCCTAAGGGCCAGACAGGCCATCCTAACTAGGAAGTAGAACTGCCTGTGTCCTAGCAAACCTCCCTAGAGTTACCCCACTCCCTACCACCTGTCTATTTTTAGAAACCGAAAATATAAAAAGAAAAATCCATCTGGAGCCGCTCGGTGTGAGTAACTAAGAAAACAACTCAGGTGGGAAACTCCCTCGGCGCACAGGGAAGGGACACAGACGCAAACCCCTCACCAACAAGACTGGTTAGGAGCAGTCAGAAGGCGACATTTACACGCTGAGCACACGCTCGCCTCGGGGCCTCCAGTCCGAGCCCTGCCTGCGGGGATCCCAGTGATTCACCCACCTGCCCCCAGCCATAAAGCACACCCTCCCCGGCCCACACACCTCTGTCATCTGCTTTTGCTTACATAACAGCACATGGTGTGACAGGCTGAACACATTCGGCGGTGTTCTGGAGGGGCTGCTAACTCAAGAGGCACAGGGTTATCAAGAGCGTCCACTGACCCCTTTTCGAGAAACACCCGAAGCCCTAGCAGGTGCAAGCCCTTGAACCTCTACGCTCCCTCATCACGCCGACTTTTAAAATCAGCAAGCAGGAAAAGGTCCTCTCAGCAGCTCTGCAGCCTGTCTTTATTCTCTGGGGATGCGGGAGACGGGGCCTACTGGGTCCCCATTTCTCACTGGGGGATCCTGACACCATTTGGAGTGACCTTTTATCCTAATCTGGTGGCCACTTACTCCACGTCTCACAAATGCACCCATCCGTGGGAGCGAGTGTAGTCCCACTCTGTTCTCACCCCTGGCTTGCTGGCGGCACCCCCCATTGGCCTCTGGGAACACCCGGGAGACAGGGAGAGAGCACGTGTCCCCGGAACCCCCATGAACGAGACCCCCCTCCCACTCGCCCCCGTGCTGCGGGATTTCCACGCGGGCGCCACTCCCCGAAGGGTTGCTCCTCAGGACAGCACTGAGCTCAGCCTCAAGTTCGTGCCAAAGGTTCACCCACGAAACCTGGGAGGTCGGGGGAGCAGTGGAGGACGGCACCGTCTTAGGAGCAACTTTAACGACTTCTCTCAAGAAAACTAGGCGTCTCCGCGTCCCTCCCCGCCCCCGCCCCCGCCCACGCCCCCGCCCCCGGACGCGCGCGCGCGGGCGTTTGCGTTGTGCTGACCTCAGGGACCCCGGCTTCTCCCCTGGGGCAGGGGGCGTCCAGGCGCCCGCAGCGGCCCCCCAGCCCTGCATGATGGAATGAGGAGAGAACAGCACGGCGCGGGGCGAGGCGGAGCGGGAGCGGGAGCGAGAAGGAAGTGCCCCCAACTCCGTGGAAGCGCCTCCTGGAGGGAGAAGAGTGGTCTTCCCGCCTCGGCGGCCGGCTCCCCACGCCTACCTGTAAGACACCTGCTTCCGGAAAGTTAAGTTCCTCAGCTTCTCTTCCAGCGCCTCGTCCTTCTCCTTCTGGCCGGCAGCCGCGGGCTCGTCCAGGGCAGCGGCCGCCGCTGCCCCTGCGCCCCGCGGGTCCACGCCGCCCTCGGCGCCCAGGCAGCAGCTCCCGGCGCCGCTTCCGCTGCTGCTGCTGCCGCCCGTCGCCCCTTTCTCCTCTCCCGCCGAGGAGCTGGGGTTCATGGCGACCGCTCCGGCGGCCGCCGCGCAGGGAGCCGAGGCGGCGCCGCTGCAGAGGCCGGGCGGGCTGACGGCTCTGGCGGCGGCGGCGGCCGCAGGAGCGCGGGCAGGTCCGCGCGCCGCTGGCAGGGGCAGCAAATGGCAGCCCCTTCCCGCAGCATCCATCCGCGGCTGCACCGCACCGGGGCATTGTGGGAAACTCCGTGCCTCCACTCCCCCTCCCCGACCAATCAGAGGCCACCTCTCCCCGCCCCCCCCCTCCTCCCCCCGGCCAGCCGGCGCCCTCAGCCCCCCTGGCCTTTTCCCAAATTGGGAGCAAAAGCCAGGGCTGAACCTGAACTCTGCGAAGAGGCTACGGGAGGCAGGCGAGGGGGAGCCGCTGGGGCTTGGGGCGCTGGGGCACGAACACCCGACATCAGGAAAGGAGAGAGCCCAGGAAAACTCGGACAGCATGCCGCGCCCTGCTTAATACCCCAGGGAACTGGGACAGGGACCCGCCCGGTGCCCTGCGCCGGCTGTCGCCTCCTCGGCGGCGGCGCGCCCCTGGGTTCCAGTCCCCTGATGCCCGGTGTGCTCAAGCTAGCATGGTCTCCACCACGGTTTACGGGCGTGCAGAGCTGTGCCCAGGCAGAAGCCCCCAGATGCCGCAAACCTTTGGGGGATGTGGCAGGAATGTGGCAGACAGGAACCTTGGAGCGAATTAGCGCGCAATGTAAATTAAGGGGAGAGGGGTGCCAAATGTGCAGGCCACCGCCCCCTCAGGTCAAGGGCCAGACTCCTCGCCCAGTGCCTTCCTTATGCCTTGGCAGGTGCTCCCTAAACAGCTGTTAATTCGATTGCTTCGGATCGCGGGCCCTCGGTGAAGCAGAAAGGCTGAGGGCAGCCAGGAGGCAGAAGTGGGGAGGGGAGCGCCCGGTGCGGATGCCGCCTTCAGGCCAGGAGAGGGGTTTGTCCAAGGAGGGGCTCAGAGCCGCTTCGGACACACGACGGAAACCACCCGAGTCTCTGTGGAATTTAACAGCCTGCCTCGTTTCTAAGATTATAGAAAACTCTGTGCGGTTTGAATAGGGTGCTGCAAAGTGTTTAAGAAAGATCGTTTTCCAAATTATGGGTTTCCACCCAAGAAATCGCTGCTGTCGGCATACACGAGAAATCTGTCTTTAATGGTAGGTGTTCATAACCAAACTGTAACGTGCTGGCTGTGGTGGTAAGAGAACCAGGCTAGGAAGAAGAGCATCAGGCTGGCAAAGCAGGACCTGGAACAAGTTGCCCGATTTCATTTTATTCCTTATAACCAAAATCAGGAGACTGCACACAGTACCTCAAACCTCTTCCAATTCCCACATTCTGTAATGCTCTTCATATGCACTTTTGTCTTATTGTAAAGTAGAAAGGTACATTGGAATTAAAGATAAACTTATTTTAATGGAAAAAATTGTGAAGTCCATACATTCGGATAGTCTTTAAAAAGTTCATGAAAAATGTATTCTATGAAAAACTCTGTAGATTTAAAACAAACTAACATATTTACCTTATTTGACAGGCAGAATGACAGAGAGAGGGAATTCTTCCCTCCAGTGGCTCACTCCCCAAATGGCCACAATGACTGGGGCTGGACCAGACCTAAGCCTGGAGCTTTATCTGGGTCTCCAACATGGTTGGCAGGGGGGCCATCTTCCACCGCTTTCCCAGGCACATTAGCAGGGAGCTGGAGGGGAAGTGGTGCGGCCAGGACTGGAACCTATACTCATTCATGGGATGCTTAAACAGCTGTGCCACAATGCTTGCCCCCTATGTGTGGATTGTTCTTAAACTAAGCATGGCTGTTTGGTTGGAGGTCTTTGTGATTTACCCAGGTGCAATGCAGCCCATCTGCAGAGGGACACGTAGGTGCTTCCATGGCCAGATCCACAAATAGCCCTTGCGTTCCTAAGACCAAGCACATGTCATTGTAACTGAGCTCCTGGACCAGCTTCACCGCTGCCTCTGCTTACTTCCAGCCATTCCTCTCCCATTCGTTCTCCAGCATGACGAGCCAGATAAGGCTGCTGTGCCACTCCTCTGCTTAGAAATCTTACAGTGATGCCATGTTGCCATTATTCAAACAACTCCTGACCTGATTTTCAAGTCCATGTTAGAAGAGGACAGGGCACTGACCACTTCTGCTTCACACTGCCCGGACAGTGCTGCTGGGAGGCATCCTGTGTAGGTCTCATGTGCTCTGCTTCCTGCACTCCTGTGGCTCTGACGTCTCTTCCTCACTTCTCTCACTAATATTCACCAAGCTAACTACTATCCCTCCATCAGATTTTACTTTACTTCTCTTCCCCCTAGAAACCTCCACTGTGGATCCCCCTTCTAGATTGTGAATGACATAAAGTCTGAAGATAAACTTGAACCACTGTAACCATTAGTCACTTGTCTGTCACCCCCATGTGAATGTTGAGACAATGTGTCTTCACTGTATCTGCAGGAATAATAAGTAAATAAAATAACAGCATAATAAATGTACATATCACAGCCCATCATTGTTTATTGACTAAAGAAAGAAACATACAAAGCTTTAAACATATAAGCATGCACTCAAATTCACTCATTATAAACAAAATGCAATTTTTGGTCTGTGTGTATGTTTTTTTTATTTGTATGTATCTCTTAAATACAACATTTGGAACACAGTAATTCTTCCCACCCTACCTGCCCTCCCACTCATTCTCCCACCCCTTTTCCTCTTCCCTCTCCTGTTTAGTCAAAGAAAGAAAAAGGGCCAGCGCCATGGCTCACTTGGCTAATCCTCCGCCTGCAGCACCGGCACCCCGGGTTCTAGTCCCTGTCGAAGCGCCAGATTCTGTCTCGGTTGCTCCTCTTCCAGGCCAGCTCTCTGCTGTGGCCCGGGAGTGCAGTGGAGGATGGCCCAGGTGCTTGGGCCCTGCACCCCATGGGAGACCATGTGGAGGAGGAAGCACCTGGCTCCTTGCTTTGGATCGGCGCAGCACGCCGGCCATAGCAGCCATTTGGTGGGTGAACCAATGGAAAAGGGAGACCTTTCTCTCTCTCTCTCTCTCTCTCTCTCTCTCTCTCACTAACTCTGCCTGTCAGAAAGAGAGAGAGAGAGAGAGAGAGGAAGGAAGGAAGGAAGGGAGAGAGAGAAAGAGAGAGAGAGAGACAGAGAGAGAGAGAGAGAAAGTAAAATGAAAAAACTAAGAGAACTGTTCCTCAACAGTCCAGACAAGGGCTGTTCAAAGTTATTGCTTCTCAAAGGTGATTTCGCTTTTTTTTCTTTTCTTCCTTTCCTTCCTTCCTCCCCCTTCTTTCCTTTTAGAAATTTAATTATCTTTAAAGAAGAACCCAAGAATGATATATCTTTTGTGAGCTCTCAGACATAACTATAACTTATGAGACATAATATTCTCCACTTAATACACTCACAGGATTCTCAAGAACAGATTTAATATTGAGTCTCATGATACAACTCTTTGAGGACAGAGGTCCTGCATGGGAAGTTAGTGCACAGTGACTTTTGTTGTTTATTTAACAATTAATACTCTTATGTATGACATCAGTGGTCACCCAAGGCTCTTGACATGAGCTGCCTCCGCTATGGAAGCCTTTTGAATCCATTAGTTCGACAAGGCCATATGCAAAGTGGAAGTTCTCTCCTCCCTTCAGAGAAAAGTACACCCTTCTTTGGTGGCCGCTTCTTTCCACTGGGGTCTCACCCACAGAGGTACTTATGTAGAACATTTTTTGCCAGAGTGTCCTGGCTTTCCATGCCTGAAATGCTCTTGTGGGCTTTTCAGCCAGATCAGAATCAAAATGCAGTGTTAAACTATAATAAGATATCATGTTCCAAAATAAATAGTTTAATAACAGGTGGTATTGATGAGGAGTTAAAAAACAACACTCTAAGTTGTTGGTAAACTTTGACCAATTAAGTCTCTGATGGGAAATCAAGCAATGTCTGTGGGGAGCAGGGCCCATCTCCCGTAACATGGCAGGGCCCATCACCCGGGAGACAAATAAGTACTGAGACTATGGACAAATAAGTACTAAAACTGCCAAGACTGGACTAGGCCACTGAGATTATTAAGACTAACTCTATGCACCTGATCTCCCACCATATGGCGCTGAGAGGGAGTAAACAACTTCCACACAGCTGCCTCACCAATTCGACTAACAAGCTGCAGGAGCTGATCCTGCCCCTGATTGGAGGAGAGCAGCGTGCTCGGTGCATGGGGAGAGAACGCCAGCAGAGTTGGGATTGGTGGAAGAGGACTATAAAGGAGGAGAGAGACAACATGCAGGAGGAACATCTGAGGAACCCCTGAGAGAGCCAGCCAGCGGTGTGCCGCTCCTCTGCGGAAGTGGGGGGAAGCAGTAGGGGTGCCGCCCCTCTGCGGAGGCGGGGGGGGGGTGGGCGGCAGCTAATCTGGGGAGGACCGGGGAAAGAGACAACAGCAAATCCATTGCCGCGCTCCTCCGCAAGCCTGCGGAGCGAATGACAATGTCTATCAATATTTGAAATGTAAATAAGCCAGCAGTTCCACTTGTAGAAATTTGTACTCTGACATACTTGTAGGTATCCACAAAAAATTTAAGTCTGGAAATGGGTGTGTGGCGTATGGAGTAAAGCAGCCACCTGCAGTGCCATCATCCCATAGGGGTTCTTGTTCCATTCAAGTACCTGGTGTTGCATTCCCAATCCAGCTCCCTGCTAATGAACCTGATAAGGTAGCAAAGGATGGCCCAAGTCCTTGAGCCCCTGCACCCATGGCGGCCCCTGGAGGAAGCTCCTGGCTTCAGACAAACCCAGCCCCAGTTATTGTGGCCATTTTGGGAATGAACCCACAGATGGAAGACCTCTACTGGTGTTTCTTTCCCTCCTTCCCTCCCTCCCTCCCTCTCTCTAACTCTACCTTGCAAATAAATAGGGTAAGTCATAAAAAAGGACTGGAAACAAAGTATTAATTCAGGTAACTAGTCCTATATTAACATCAGTTTGCTATTATCGTCCCAGTAATGGAATTCTCTGAAGTCACTAAAAGAAATAAAGCAAATTGATATGTATTAGTATAAACCAATCTCAAAAATATATTACTATAAAAGAAAAACAACATTCAAGCAGAACATTTAGTATTGTGTTACCACTTATATTAAAACGTCAAGGCCGGCGCCACAGCTCACTAGGCTAATCCTCCGCCTAGC